TATCTATCTATCTATCTATCTATCTATCTATCTATCTATCTATCTATCCCCTTCTACCTTCCTCCAAATCTATCTATCAAACTTCATTCTCAAAGCACCAGCACCGTTTATTTATTGCTTTTTTGTACGCATAGTACTTGTTATATGTAGGTGGTACAGACATCCATACTCATACGTTTCACATTCCAACAATTACGTGCTTTATTTCCGTTCTTTATGAAATCGAGAGTGGAGTTTGACAGTCTCGATCTTCTTAAGCATACTCAATGATAAATGGGGTGACCCGTTTGCTATGAAGCTGAAACTAAGATTACCAGAATGATGACTGATATGAAAGGGTCACGAAAAAGTACTAGAGTGGGTAAGTTAACACAGTGAGCAACTGGACTACAAAATCATATGTTTGTCCTTGCCCTGGAATCCAGAGAACCAAAGAAAGACCAAAAAACGTGAGATAACAGGGAGGGCGACGCTGCAAAAAAAAAACGAGTTGGTGTGAGTCGGGTGGGGCTAAACGCTCATACAGGGAATAAAGGATATAATTAGAATAATGTGACAGTAGATAAAGTGTTGCTGACGAACATATACATTTGATGACACTGTCATAATTGAGGGAAGAGGTGAGAGAGGGAGACAAAGAAGGAAAGTGAAGGAAAGCAGAGGAAAGGATGACAGAGAGGGTGACTCAGAGAGAGAGAGAAAAGTGAGGGGGACACTGTTAGCAAAAGAAGGCACAAAGAGAGAAAAAAGAAGGGGAGAGAGTCTTGGAAATAGAAAATGGGGAAGGAAGACAGAGAGTGGGGGGGGGGGAGGAGGAGGAGATAGAGAGAAGAGAGAAGGAAGGCAAAGAGATAAAGACAGAAGACGGATGATGGGAGACAGAGACTAGGAGAGAGAAAAAAAGAGAGGTGGGAGACAGAAAGAGAGGTGGGAGACACACAAAAAGAGAGGCAGATCTCTTTTTGAGTATCTCCTACCTCTCTTTTTGTCTGCCACCCCTCTATATATATATATATATATATATATATATATACATATATATAGATATAGATATAATATATATAGATATATAGATATAATATATCTATATATATAGAGAGAGAGAGAGAGCGAGAGAGACAGACAGACAGACAGACAGACAGACAGAGAGACAGAGGTAAAGCAGAAGACAGGGGGAAAAAGAAGGAGAACAGATTCAAAAGGAGGACACAACAGTACACTTCTGCTGCATCAGTTGCTAATTTTCTTCTTGATTAGCATTCTGAAATGTAAACTCTCTGTTACCACACAGAATATTAAAAATACAACCTGGCAATAATGTCTCAAGTGTATTACACATCTTGTTAAATACAAATAAAGAATCACAAAATTAGAACATGATTATGTCACTGAGTATAGCCAATTTAACCAGCTAAATATTAAACACCAATATATTTTTTAAACACAAATATACGCATACATATTTATATAGTGTTCAAATAGTAACTACACACATATGCACATCGTAATACATGGCATTTAACCGATTTATTTGAATTTCTATATGTGATGTATGTACAGTCACTCACAATAAACCAGAAAAGAAAATTAGTAGCCATGGAAATGAGATGTCTGAAAAGGGCTGCAGGAGTGACCAGACCAGATAAATTTGGGAATGAGGTTGTAAGAGAAAAAGTCGGCACAGAACCAATTCTAATTTACATACAAATATAGCAAATCAAATGGTTTCTCTGCCCACAGCAAGAATGACTTGGTACACCACTCCATACAAGGCTTACACCAAAAGAGGCGTATGATGTACAGCATGAGATAGACCAAGAACAAAATGGAAAGATAACATCAGAGAAATAACATCAGAGCATAATGTGTCTATGGAAGAGACCATGTAATGGAGAGCTGACCATTCCGTAGCAATGACAAATTACTGAAAGTTAAAGTGCCTAATAAAACCACAAACAGGCAACAAAACCAGCGGTTAACTTGCAACTCCTGTAAAGGATACGCAACGAACCTTTTTTTGAACCAGTTACAAAACATGCCAAAATGTTACCCATTTTCATATTTCTCTATTTGTATGTATAGTTATTTTTTCAAACCTGCCGATAGTAAGTGCATAGTTCCCTTTTAACCAGCATTACAAATAATATGTGTATAGTGATTTTTCAACCTGCATATAGTAAGGTCACAGTGATTTTGCAACCTGCATATAATAGTAAGTTTAAATAGTTAAGTGCATAGTAATTTTTCTGCCTGCACATGATAAGTTTAAGGTTACTTTTTCAACCTGCATACACACATACACCCTCCATACAGTATGCGAGAAGTAACCTTTCAGACACACTTTTTCAATCTCCATAGCTGCCTTAAGAGGCATTCATACATGGTAGGTTATATTATTTCTATTCTTTGCATCTCTTTACATTTTACAGCCATAAAGGCACTGGATATTTACAGACAACTTGGCAATTATTACAAACAACTTGGCAATTATTACAAACAACTTGGCAATTATGTCTCAAGTACTGTAGTTTCTTAAATATATATGTATAAATATATCTCTTATAAAAAACCCAATTCTGGAAGCATAAGTTGAAGGCAGGCAAGCAAGAGGTAGAGAGAGATATAAATGGGAGGATAACATAAAGAGTGAATGGACAGCAGTCTGAGAGAATGTTTTTTAATTAGGTGCTGGAGATCTATTGCAGCCAATATTCACGGCGGAGATGGCACCTCAGTGAATGATAAGTATGTCTTTTCTTCTGCTAATTTTAATCCTTTCACCGTGAGAAACTGCAAAACAGACATTTCCAGTGGGGTCCAATTCCCCGTAAATGTCCTTTTTGATGTCTATAGTGACCTGTTTACGAGATGCACAGTTTATGCGCAAATATTTAGGAGGTTAGGGTTCATTAAATAAAAATAGTTGGGGGGGGGGGGGGGGTGGTGGGGGGAGGGGGCGCCAGTTCCTTTGAACTAGAAAAAAATAGTCAAACTTTCCTGAAAGCCTCAGCCAAACTGTAAATCCACTTTTCTTACTATGCCTGTCTTCTTCAATCTTCTCCAAACTTCCTGCTGTCACAACAAACACTAGTTTTCTCTTGAGGTACTAAAAAATATATATATATGATATGCATAAATTATTACAACACAGAATATAAACAGTCCTAACTGTCAATGTTTCACATACAAGGTTTACCAGCAATAAATAGATGAAAATAACTGCACAATTTAAAATATTTAGTTCTAATGTCAAACCAGCACTGCTGCAGAGCATAAGCATGAATCATTAAATCAATTTACCCATGTGCATTCCTGAACCCAATTGTTGGGGAAAAATAGACCCACTGTTTCCCCAACAAGCATTTTGTAAAAGTCGACTTCGAAGTCGGAGTGCATCTGCCTGAGAGACAAGGAGCCAACAATCTGCATACAAGTATGTCAGACCTGTAAAACGGATGTGCATGCAACACTCGGGCTCTGGAACAAGACTAATGTCCACAGGTGGATGAACAACCAGAACTTTCCGCCAGAGTTTACAGCAGCTGACCTTGAAGAAGAAGACCCAAACAATGACTAATAAATTAAAAATATTAATGAAACTGGTGCTTGAGCTGAATACAAAGAATTAAATTGTTAGAGTCACTTATTTGGAGCGCTGGGAGAGAACTAAACACATTCCAGTGAATCAAGAAGAGAAGAAAAGATGCTGGTACTGGAAAGGACACACACTGAGAAATACAATAACAGTATTACTCAAATGTCTCTGCATTGGAACCCACAAGGTCAAAGAAATAAAGGCAAACTCAAAATAAATAACACAGAAAGACTATTAGAGTAAGCTTTTTAAATATAAAAAATAAAAAGGGGAGGGGGGTAGGGAGGACATGGGGTGAGACAGAAAACAGGACAACTTAGTGTGAGTTGGTTGAGGGCTGTACTCCACTGATGGCTAGAGGGAAGCTATAAAAGAAGCATTAAAAAAAAAAAAACAACATGCGTAACCACACCAATATACTATCTTCTTTTTTTTCTACATTCTATTCACCAAAGGAAGAAAAGTTCTCAGCTTTCTTGTGCCAAGCTGTACTTTCCTCTCCCATCTCTTGTGATTCCTCCCATTTGAATCCCCACATCATTCATCTGTGTGCTAATTTTCTTTCTTCTAGTGCCCTTAAACCCCCAGTTGAACACAGATCCTCACCTAGTGTGTAACAATTCATTCTTTCCCTTTCCCATATCTAGTTACCCCTTCAACATCCACCCCCTATTTCCTTTCCTTCTTCTGCCCTTTGAACGCTTCTGTCCCACGAACACTAAAACAAATGGGTATGAATCCGCTGGAATTCAAGATGAGAAGCTCCTTTAAAAAAAAAAAAATTCTTTTAAACACAGGTCACTAATAAATGAAACAAAACTTAGCCAAATACTTTTTCTCAGTACATAAAGATATACTAAAGGTGACTAAGATCCAGAGACGAATTATCACAGACATAAGAAAAGAAGCAATCATCATTTTTAGGCTTCATTATACGAAGGAAAAAACTGGGACAAGTTGTGACAACAGGAAACCCTTATGAAAAGAGAGAAAGAGTATTAAAAGAACAGAACAATCTTGATATAACTGTGTCATGACATGGAAATGTATCAGAACACAGACTGCTACATGCTGCTGCGGACTTCAGGAAGTGGAGAAGCATGATCGTCCACACCAGTTGACAAAGCACTTGATGATGGTGGGACCAGACTTTCCAGGACTGTTTTCCCCAGGCTCACACCACATATTGTTTCCCCAGGCTCACACCATATATTGTTTACCCAGGCTCACACCACATATTGTTTACCCAGACTCACACCACATGTTTACCCAGGCTCACACCACGTATTGTTTCCCCAGGCTCACACCACGTATTGTTTTCCCAGGCTCACACCACATATTGTTTCCCCGGGCTCACACCACGAATTGTTTCCCCAGGCTCACACCACGTATTGTTTCCCCAGGCTCACACCACGTACTCATCACCCCCAATGATCATGCCTTCTAAAGGAATCTTCCCGTTGATTTCACTGAGTGTTCCAGTATGCTGCCTCAAATTTGTTGTTTCCACAGCAACAGTCAGACTTTTGATTCTTTCGTCTCGTGCCTGGATCAAATCGTCCAGCCGTGAAATTTCTGATTCCAGTCCCTTGATTCGTTCAACTGCCGTCTGGCCCTTGAACTGCAAAGAAATATAGACAACTTTTTAATTTAGTTAAATAAGACCAATTTGAGAAAAGCGAAGAAAACAGAAAAATATATATCTGCTGAAATCGGATATGGTGGACATAGAGATTCCGAGAGAAAATGCTGTTTACAAGACATTCTACCTTAATGATCAATTTTTGTTAAATTTGTCAGTATTTCTTTTTATTGTGGCAGGGTGAACTACTGAATGAAAAAGAGTCTATTTAAACTAAATATTACCCATCATTCACTGAGAAACAAAGACTGAAATGGTTTGGTTACCTGGTAAGAATGAATCCAACAACATGTACGACATGAAAATGGAAAACACTAAGAGGCAGAGGGAGGCCTAGAAGAAGATGGACTGAAGAGGTCAGTGAAAGCCAAAAACCTCACATCACAGTTAACCAAGCAACCGGCACATCTGGCTTGGCTACCTTTCCTTTGTTAAACTACCATGTGTAATGGCACAAAGCAGATACTGCTCTTCCCCCCCCCCCCCAAATTATATTATGACAGTTAAATTAGGATATAATGAAACAAAAATAAATCATTTCCACTGATATACATAAATCACATTGTCAGGTTAGGCTGCCCATCTCACCATCAGAAATTCAAGATCAGCCACATGATTACCATGGTAACTTCAAATTTTTCAAGTGATCTTTTTGATACACACAAAACAGCAGTTAGGTTGTGTGTGGTGTGTGTGTGTGTGTGTGTGTGGGGGGGGGGGGACAGTTTAGGCTAGATTAAGTGAGCCTATATTTAGTAAGGTGTGATAAATGATTCTGCATCCTACTATATTTTGGTTGCTATGACGCAACAGTCCTTTTCACAATTGTTGAGCAAAAATATGTGTACAATTACAGAACACATCAAACTTTCTCAAAAGCCACCAATGAACAGTCCCCACAGGTGCAAGAAATGTGAGAAGCAATCTGACTGGCTGATACTAAAACCTGCCAGTATTATATATGGCCGACCGAACGGCTGAGCCATCTTTTTTGGCTAATTTGCTACTGGGCCGATAGATCGACCGAGTCATCTCCAAAGTGTTAAAGAAATGAAGACCATCTTAAAAAACACACTGAAAAGAGCACAAAGAAGATTCCCCCCCCCCCCCTCCCCCCAGCGAAACAGCTAGATAGAGTAAGAGAAGTCAATAAATGCTTGTTTCAGTTCGCAACAACTTGAAGAGGTCATGCAGCTAACATATGTCATCAGAAAGTTAGGTTTACAGATGTATTGTGAAATATTCTAAATACATTTATCCATTTTATGTGTAGAAAAATATGTGTTGTGTTGCAACCTGTGTTTGTTTCCAGCTGAGACAGCTTAAACACCGTCAGTGGCTGCTTAAGATAATTACAACAATTATTCATTTGATCGCTTTGTTTGATTTGGGCATGAGAGAAGTATCTTTTTTGTTATTTTAAACTAGCAAAGGCAGAATAGAACAAATTATATGATTACAAAAAATATATGTATGCTATATACACACACATGTAAAGAGCTTTGGAATAGAACTAAACAGGCTCCAGTGGACCAAGAGGTGAGGAAAAGACACTGGTGTTGGATAGGACACATACTGAGAAAACAGGAGAACAGAATAACTAGAATTGGAACCCACAGGGGCATAGGAATAAAGGAAGGCCAAAAAACACATGGAGAAGCGGGTTGGAGAATGAAGTTAGAAAGATGGGGAAAACTCCATGTAATATCGAAGGATAGAACGGCTAGGCATGAGTTGGTTAAGGGCCTATGCTCCATTGGGGGATAGAAAGGCAGAAGAAAAAGATATACAAATACAAGATGGGGCTTCAAATGAAAAGCTTAAAATTGTGGTAGAAATTACAATAACCATGCTACTGTCTTGTTACCTGTCAATACTGTTGTTATGCCTGAGGTGACATATATTTTTTAGGGCCAATCAGAAATTGATAAAGTAATTTAAATCACACTGGCCATCTTTATTTCAAAGCACATTTCCTGGAGCCATTTTAGTCTGCGCTGACCTCAGAAAATGTTAAAAAAACCAAACTTACTGCGGATTCAAACCGACAACCATCTGACCAGCAGGCAAGCACAATACTATCTTTCTCAAATGTTGGGAAAATAACAGGCAGGTAGATTGGCTGGTTTTGCACCAATGAGTGGTGAATTTATGCATGGCAAGCTAGATGTGACCAGAGCCCTTTGGGAGCAAGTGAATAATGCAAAGGCACAAAAAGATCATTATGGTCTGAAGAGAATGGGACAGCCAGGAGTGACCAGGGAAACTGCTACAGCATCATCAGAACTAAAACTCTTCACTGGCTGCTGAAAATGAGGACAAGGCACTTGTAAGAATGTCCATAGTGCTGTGATGTCCATTTTTAGCTCAACATGCAATTCTCTCACATACCTCTACAACAAATCTGACCTACCCTGACGTCATCAGTTTCCTTCAGCCTTGCAACAGTTAACGTTATCGTCTCCTTGCAGTTCTCAATCAAGGTCCTCACGTAGGCAACATCAGCTCCAAGGCAGAACCAACCATTGACCTGTAATGTAAATTATGTTTTGCACTCTGAAAGAAATATTTTTATGTTGTGCAAAAAGAAAGGAAAAAACTGGAGTGTGTTGTGACAATGGGAACGCTGGAGGGGAAAAGGGGAAAGGGGAGACCAAGAGAGATGTTAGTTGCTTGTTAATATGGCATGGAGGGAATCCTGTATACAGGTTAAAAGTCAAGAGGATCGACTTCATTACACCAGGTTTCATCCAACATGGCTCAGTCTCTCTCTGCAAAATGGCTAGCCATCTGTCAAGAGCACAGCACAAAAACTGAAGCTGTGAAGGCAATTCCCAGGGGTCTCTGGAAAAGCTGCACTTGTGAACCAAACGGTGCAGCCATGCAACAAACCCATGACATTCATTCAGAGTGCGAGACACGATGTTTGACCACTTCGCCAAGGAAGCTCCTCTAAAGGGAATCCTGGCTTGGAAAAACAAAATGATCCAAAATGTTGATTATGTATTGCATTGTTAGGGAAAATACTTTTGTTTTGTGCTAAAAGAAAGGGGAAAATTATAGTCTGTTGTGACAATAGGAATATCGGAGTGGAAAAGAGGCAATTAGTGACCAAGAGAGATGTTAGTTGTTTGGCTTTATGACATGGAGGAAACAAATTGCAGTATATGTTGAAGATTGCAGTAGAAACGTAAAGACCAATGCCACATAGCATGAGCTTTAAGACAGAGAGAAATGTCAATAAAGTCACACAGTGTGAGGTTACTGCTAGTGACAAATGCAATTTGAAGGTAAAGGTTTTAGCTTTTCTCCAATCCTTGAGTCAATGATTTGAGGTTTGTTGAGCATAGTTAAGAACCCAGATCATAACATTTGGGTTAAAGTCAAAGATGACTTTTAGGGTCTTTTACTTTACTTACCTTACCTCTCGTGACACCTTTTTCTTCTTCTTTGCTCACTGGCTGTAAAAGCTGGTGGAAAGTCCTAGTTGTTCGTCCATTTGGACTTTGGCTTTGTACCAGGACCTGATTTTTGTGTGTACATCCATTTCACTGGCTTATTTGTGTGTAGTTGGTTGTTCCTTGCCGTTCGGGCAGACGCACTCCTACTTCAAAGAAAGTCTTCACTTAGTCGACATGCTTGCTGGGGAGGCAGTGGGTCTATTCTTGTTTTTCCCCACAAATGGGGCCCTGGAACCCACACATGGAACAGTGATACCCTGATGATTCTCTACTATTCTTTCCAGACCATAATGATCTGGAGTTTGTAGAGAATGAATTATCTAAAATTCTCTAGTTCTCGAACTAGACCTAATCCCACCCAGTCCATAAGTACAGCGCTGAACAATGATGTAGTTACATCCTAACATGTTTCTCCTTAGACATCATCATTATGACTCTGTCGCACAGAGGGTACTGAAATGTATGTGGTATTGATCTTCATCTGTACCTCACTCATGTGGCTCCTATCCTTTGACATGTCAGGAGCTCCGTTTCTGGAGAGGGGAATGGGGGTGAAGAGCAGATCCACTGTCATGTTGAAATAAGTGACGAATCAGGGGTTTGCTGAAACTGGATGCAATGGGTTGAAAGGCGCAGATATGGCAGCCTAGCTGTAAACCACAAAATGTGCGAACTGCTTTTTAACTCCAAGTACCAAACAACTCACTTTTAATTTCTTAGTTTCCCTACACATTTTGTACTTCTTCTTCGTGTTCACCAGTGGAAAGTTCTGATATTTGGCCTCATCTGGACTTTTGGTCTCATTCTGCATTTAGTTTTGTGTGCACACATTTTATTCAGATCTGGATTTTTGGTGTGCAGCCTGTTGGTTCATCACCTCTCAGGTAGATGCATTCCAACTTCAAAGGAAACATAGTTAATTAGTCTATTTATATGTATTGCTTTTAATGGGGGCATTGGGTCTATCCCGCGATAACTATAACATGGAACCCATTTTAAACAATTCATCTTCTTTCTGTTTCTTGTTTGTGTGTTAAAGCAGTGTATCCTAGTCGTTACTTTACTTACTATGTCTTATAGTAGTACAATTTTAATCTATCTACTGTCCTCTAATACCGATAGAGTCAAGGGCGGACACAGAAGGAGGAATGTCCAACACAGGAGATCCCACTAGTAACTATACTACCATTGGCATTGCTCTTGTGGTATTGAATATGGAAGCGTCTCTGCTCATGGGGGCTGGATACAGCTACGGTACTTACCGTCACCCCAAACACCCTTTAATTTATGGACACCAGGGCGACTTCTTCTTCTTCTTCGTTCACTGGCTGTGAATTCCGGCGGAAGGTCAGGTTAATAGTCCGCTTGAACTTTTGGCTTTTACCTGGACCTGAGTTTTGCATGTACAACCGTTTTACTGGCTTTTGCTGTTCCATGCCTCGCGGGCATATATACTCCGACTTCGAGGGAAGACGTCAGTCCTATTTCTAGGATGACTGTGGCCATTGTTTTGTGTGGGTCGAGATGTTACCTTATTTGTGTGGTGTCCTCTTAGTCCCTTACTCCACAGGTGTTGCCCCCGGAGTACCCCTTTTGGGGCAGCCCTGTGTGGAACGGTTAGCCCTCAAGGAAAGGCAGGGGCAGATCATGGGCATTCCCCGCTATCAAAGGAGGCTTCCATAAATGCAGAGCTGACACGTAACGCTCTGGTTCTGGGCTCACCCAAGGAATCATCACGTCCTGCACATAACTGCTTAACCTCACAACCGTATTAGGCTTCCCGCTCGACACGGGCTGTGCCCTCCGAAGATCAGGGGGGAGCAGCCCATGTTTTATGGACTTTTATGACCACACGAATAGATACAATCTTTTTCATCGCACGATTGTCATCTTTAACATGCTGTTAGCATGACAGAATGAAGAATCCTGCCTATGGCATGTCTTTATCTGTTTGGTCCCAACACTCAGGCGAGTGGGGTCTCGGGATGTGGACATTTGGATTTTTCCACTCAATACGATTTGTGATGGTCAGATTTTGAGCTTGCACGTATGTCGTTGGATCTATTTTTGTCGGACATTTGGGCCTAACCAGCCGATAGATGATTGCTGTCATGGTGTACCTAAGCGTGGTGGCGATAATACTGAGGGTTTGCAGAGGATGTACATGGGTAGAATCTTGCTACCAGATGCCACCCACAGAAGATTTTGTCTGTGCTGCGGGTAAATTTCTAGGTCAAGGGTTGAGTCTCAGCAGCACAATGTTCTCTTCACTCCACACACTTTTAACCGAGGGTTGTCATTTTAGTTGTACGTTTGGCAAGCACTTTCCTTATGTTCCTAATGAGTTTTGATAAGCTTTTTCACCCATGCGTTTGGGGGCGTGCTGATGAGAGCCTCAAGGACACTACACCTCTGGAGGCCGCCAACTCCGAGATCCCCTGGCAGCTCTGTTAAAGCTCATTTGAGACATTATCCGTGGCGCACGACGAGGACGTGCTGCAGGAGTCTTGTATAAGGTTCAGTAAAACCAGAACAGTGCAGGACTAGCACCCGAGTGACATACGGAGTAGCTTCTTTTACAAATCACGTTGGACTTAACTTTACCTCACGCCTGTGACAGAAATCACCACGCCACACCAGGCCGACTGATTGCTGCATACAGGCCATACTGGCATATGAACTCACTTTTCATGTATTCCAGCTTCTCTGGTTGGCTATAAGATCATGTAACCAATATCAGAAATCATCACCAAAATAATCAGTGGTTGGTAGTGTTGCAAAGCACATTCTCTGTTCCAAATTAGCCTCTTTAATTACCTTACCCCTGACGTCCAGAGAAGATTCGAACAGACTCTTGCAGCTGGGGCAATGTTTCTATAAAAGCCACTTGGGAGACTTTTCTACAGTGGGCGTTTACGAGACCCATAGTTAACACATTCACGCAGCATTTGGAAAGCCAAGGTATGAATATATTTACTAAATATTTTGTGATCCAAATGGCTTTTTTTTTAAAAGCCATGCTAAAAGCAAATTATCTATTAGGCCTCAGTGACAGGGTTGTCATGAGTCACCTAATACATATGCTTTTTTTAAGGCCCCCAGGAATGCATTCCATTTAATACTCCCCTCAGTCCATATACACTGATGACACCTTTTTATATATCTTTATATATTTCTGGGGGGGGGGGGGGGGGGGGGGGGGGATTAAACCATGTAGACACATAAATTTTGTTTTACATTTATTAATGACTTTTGTAAAACGTTTGTTTTTAAAGGTTGTCTTCATAAATTTGTTTACAGTTTTCCGGGTTGAAGGCACCTTGAGAAAATTAAGAAAAAAACAAATCTTTAACATTAGATATGGAACACACACTGACTGAGCTTTCATAGTCATCAATGAACAAATGGTTACCTCAAGGACAATGTCTCCTTTCAGCACCCTTCCCAAAGTAGTGTAGCTGTGAATGTCTTCCCACACACTAGAGAAGCAGAGGACTTTCAATTCTGCCCTCAGAGGTTTATCACGATCCACAGAGTTCTTTACGGGAGTGAAAGCTGACCCTGGAGTGCCAATTTGAAGTGCCCTGCCGTGAAGGCTGTTTGGTAAAGAAGACACTCCAACCAAGGACATTTCTACAGAGACCTCACTGAGTTGTATCATGTCATTTAGCAGCACATTATTGGGCAGGTTGATCATGACTGGTGCAAGATCATATTTCTGTGTTATATGAAACAAGGACATCTCCTGACCCACTGAAGAAAAGTGATGGAAACTGCCATTAGGCTCATCGTTGCCAAATCCTCCAGGATGGGTGTACCCCTGTGCTAATCTACTAATTTTTGAAACTGGGACCTGTTGTGGCTTGACTTCACCATGCTGCTGGTGATTTCCGTTGCTTAGCTGGTAGTAATGATTCTTGTGATAGTCTTCACCTGCAGACATATGATAGCCGTTAAGTTGTTCAGTGCCAGCACACATAGTTTTCTGTGGGTGTTCATGATCACTGGGGTGATGATTAAACACTTCCCTTGCAGGTGACACTACAGGTGTAAACTCCTTGCCATCATTCAGCTGAGCAATTTCACTGTCAGACATGGAATTATCAGATGAAGTTTTGGGCTGTTGGGAAGTTTTCAACTGCCGATTAATCCTGTCAATATGATGATTATCTAGAAAACTCCTGCCAACAAATCCCCTTGAAACAGGTAGAACATCTGAAGACCTGTAACGTTCATCAGCCCTTTCATATCTTTTTATCTGGTTGGAAGTAAAACCATCACTGAAGTTGCTAAGAGCATCATTGGCACAGTCCCAGCTTCGTCTGTTAGCTGACAGCTGCATGTCTTGTAGCTGAAGTTGGTTCACAGGTGGCATGTTTCTGGCAGACACTGCTTGATTGATTCCATTCTTGATGTTACCTGTTATGTTTGCATTGTCTATTTTATTGTAATAACAAGCAGGGTTCTGTGATGCCACATGCTGATGATGTTTATCATTAGCTATAACCTGAGTGCACTGTACTAGATTGAAATCCTTGGCGATTGCCTGAGATTTCTGGTAGATATTTTGAACACTACCAAAATTATGGGTATTAACCAGGTTAACAAAGTATTTATGTGAGTGGTGGTGATTACATTGTGGCATTTCATCTGTCCTTGATTGGTTCCGGCCAGTCTCAAGATCCTGATTCACATGCTGCGAGTCTTCCTTTGGGGCTCTATGAGAATAATGATCAAGACGAGGTGGGTGGCTCCTGCAGGAATCATTTTCCCCATCATTATTGGTTGTGTACCCTGAATCTAGAATGCTACCATTGTAGCTGTTGTTTGTTTCTGTTGTCCGCCCAGAATCTAGGCTCTGATCTGAGGCTGGGGCAGGTTGTACATCCCTAAATGACAACATGTTCTGATATTGACCATGCCACGCATTTTGGCTGAGGTTTCTGTGAATAAGATTATGACTATTGTTCTGATTACCACTGTTATTCATTCTGTGATCATGGTTCTGGAAATGGACTTCCTCTTTAATGCTGTTTCTTCTATTCACAGACATATCAGCATGTTTAGCACCAGAATCACTTCCACTATTATAGCCAGAAGATTTTCGAGGTGAACGCATGCCTTCCTTGGAAATATCCTGAGGTCTAGAGACTTCATGGATTGTCATGAAGCTATTTTGTTGATAAAGGACAGGCATACTCTGATACTGACTTCTACTATCATCAACAAAGACATCACCGTCTGATGGTTCTGAAGGTGTTTGTGTGGATGGTCCAGTCTGGGAGCAGGTACTTCCTGTGGAAGACATTCTAGAAGGTGCATAGTCTGAACCCCGACTATCAGCGGAGCGGCTTTTATTTGCACTGTTTGCCGACATTCGAGATTTCATCATTTCTGTAAATCTCTTTATCCTTTCTGAAGCCTCATTTAAAGGCACATTTGGAAGGCTTCTCCTGGGTTTTACTACAGCTTGTTCTCTGTTTTGGTGGCCTAATTGGTGTGAAGGGATCACTGCTGAATGAGCTTTATCAGTAGCAGCATTATCCTTCAAACAGCTGGCGGTATTATAAATAGAGCTAAATGGGTCGACATTCCTACTGGTCACTCTGCTAGTGTCCGGAGTATGTGCTGACTCATTTGTTCTGTTGTTATACTTTGTGTCATGATCCTGAAATGGTCTTGTATCAGAAAGGGCACTTCTGTAACTGGAGACTGTATCTTCGGAATCTTTCCTTGACCTTGGAAATGGTATTTGCTGCTCCACCAGGGACTTTTCTTCAGCTACAGGATAATCCTTTTCCAACTGTGGCTTGTGCTGAAGATATTCAAACTGCTGGTTTTGATTCTTTTGTTGATAAGGTTGTTCAAATAAAGTATTTTGTTTTGTCTGATGAATCACTTGATGCCCATTTATATTTGAAGTACTAGAGTACTGATTGCACAAATCTTTACCCTGGTCAATTTGAAGTCTGGAATTACTGTACAAAGAAGACAGAGAGGTGACACTGCTCTGGCAACTCAAGGTAGTCCCCTTGAATCTGCCCTCGATGTCCTGTAAAGATGATGCTGCAATTGTGGCCTGTCTTCTACTGCTGCCAGAATTGGGTGCCGATCTTAAATGAGAATTAACACTCACCACACTGTCATACTTCTTCTGACCAATCAAAGACAAAGTGAGGCCAGTTGAGAGGTCACTAAGTGAGTGGGATCTGGAACTTGGGTCCATTTTGTCTTTTTTAATGTTGTCTACATTTTTATTTGTCCGAACAGAATTGCTTACCCTGCGAATATTTTTGGTAAATATTTCATTTCTGGCAGGTTTTCTGCCGACACTGTGAACTTCCTGCTGACTGACGATGCTGTGATTATGCTGCCGAGAATTAGGCACATGGAAAACACCAACATTAGGATCATTTTTATTTCTGCTGGCCTGACTATCAAATCTGTGCAGCCCACCACCTCTCTTCTGATAACTACTTGCAGCAGTTTCATCGCAAGAAGTGATAGAGCTAATATTGCTACTGTTTTTGCCCCCCGGATGTAAATTTCCTGCACCATTCATTCTGTTGGGGGCATCCCTGTTGTTATGACAGTGCTGGGCAAATGTTCCGTTCTGCAACACATGTTGATCTGGGGTGTAAATTCCCAGTTCAGGTATTGGCACGAAAACGTTCACATGAGAAGCAGAAGCTTTTGGGCCACTTTTAGAGGTTGCTAAAGGTGCTGAATTTTTCAACTGCGGCTGGGTTTTAGAAGCATCCATAGCTGCATAGACCTTGTCAGCCGGAATCTGAAATCAAAATATCACATATATTAACATAAGCAACTGCCAATTTTACAACAGTGGTAAGAGCTATTAAAATAGTGTGGGGGAAAAGGGGGTGGGGGGAACTAGTTAAGGGCCACACTAGGAATATCCTGAACTTGTTCAGTTCCATATCGACTTAGCTAATGTCAGAGAGAGAGAGATAAGAATGACATCACTAAATGCAGGGTATGCTACTTCCCCAGGGACCAAATGCACAAACTTTGGAGGACACAAATACGTTGTTTGAGTTCTTTAAAGACCCTTTGAATAAACATGAGATATAAAAACATATACAATACACTGATGGCTACATATAAGTTATATTCAATAACACATAGTGCCTTGCCTGAGCAGAAAGAGTTGGGATGCAAATGGAAAATGGATGCTCATATGAAAAAAAATTAATTATTTTAGGCTCCTAGAGATTGTGAAACCCTAAGCTGTAGGCATCATGGCATGGAAGATCAACTGTGTCAGAGTTGACTGAAAGTACATGAGTCAGAAGGTTGTGGATAGACAATCCTACCAATGCCACACGACATGGACTTTAAAAAGAAGCTTTATCTTAGTAAGCTTATGTTTGCCTGGCTCTCTAGCGTAGTTGGCTAAACTGGATTGCGTGGAGACCGGGTGACGAACTCCTTGTGGTCCGGGTTCATTCCCGGGGGTAGGCAGGAAAGCCACATTTTCTCCCAGATTTACGGTATTTACAATGGAATCAAGGCCGAAAGGTTGCGATATCATAATACCGAGCCTAAGGGTTGACAACTCATGGCTTCTGGATACTAAAACAAACAAGCTTATGTTTAAATCCAGCACTGTGAAAAAGACTGAAAAACCACTGATCTATTCAATATACATTTTGCTAGGGATAGCTCAATGATCTTCTTCAGTTCTGGTAACGAAGTCGGGCCCAGGTAGACCATGTTTGGATGTTCAGTCACGTGTCTTAACCTTTGAGACTTATTAGTCTAAGTAGCAGGGGTGTCAGGTTCTATTGTGTTGACAGTCTCACCGACGACCACACGTGCTCTATATTCCACAATGTGAGCACCTTTAATGGTTCCAAAACATGTAGAAGTGGCCCTAACCCCACAACCTACATTCCGAGAAAGAGAGAGAGAGAAAGAGAAAGAGAGAGAGAGATAGAGAGAGAGAAAAAGAAAAAGAGAGAAAGAGAGAAAGAAAGAGAGAGAGCAGCCTAAGTTTCACGAGAGAGTGCAGCATACATCCAATGACTGCATGCAGAAAATTGATTTCGTACTTAGGTCAAAAAGCGCCAGAATATACGCAATCACTCAGAACAGCGAGTAAAACACCCTACCACTTAGACTAATGCATCTCTAGGGTTAAGACGCATGAATAAACACCCAATGATGGTCTACCTGGGCCCAACTTCATTACTACAACCTCTTCTTCTTTTCCACATTCACCAGCGGAAAGTTCTGGTTGTTCAACCACCTCTGAACTTTAGATTTGTTCCAGAACCTGAGTTTTGTGTACACATCTGACTTATTTGTATGCAGACTGTTGGTTCCTTGCCTCTTAGGCAGATGTACTCTGACTTCGAAGAAAACTTTGATAAAGTAGACTCTTACGACATGCTTGTGGGGCAGGCAGTGGGTCTACTCTTTTTTTCCCTCACAAAGGGGTCTCATAACCCACACGGGGAAGCTCAGTGATCATTCCTACTCCATGTTTTGCCATACAAATACTGTCTCTACGTAATTTTGTATACAAACTTTCTCAGTTGGCTTGTCCGGCTTAGGGGCTATAAGCATGGTCTGTAATTCCAAAATACCTCAGACTGATTCAGCTGCAGGCAATTTGGTAGCAAACCACTTTGCCTCACTAATTTTGACAATGAATTTTGGGTGTCAATTTTTCAGAAAGCAATGACAAACTGCAGAACATATCTTACCTATAAAACTACAAACAGCCAACAAATGCTGGGGTTGCTTTGCAATGTCTTGTAAAGAATATGCAAATATCTTGTTTCTCTCTCATTCTCCATGCACAAAGTAACACACATACTTATTTAAAAGATAAAAGGTTTAGACATCTATCTTACCTTACCCCTCACCTTATGAGAAGTGTAAGGATTACCCCTGGCTGTTTTATCAGTCAGCTTGTGTAACTTGGCAGACATGCTTAACCTGTCGAAGAATCAGCTCTCAGGGCCTAGACAATACATGAGGAAATGATACATCAGTTAAATACTTTTCAATGTGGTTTGTGTTGTGAACTTCTTCTTCTGTCTTCTATCTCCCAGTGGAGCATTGGCCCTCAACCAACTCACACCAAAAGTCATTCTATCCTTCGCTAGATCATGCAGCTCACTCAATGTTTTCCCATCTAGTTCCTTGTGTTTTTTGGTCTGTCTTTATTTCTAGGCCCTTGTGGGCATCAGTGCAGAGACATTCTAGTTCTATTGTTCTCAGGTTTTCTTAAATATGTCTTATCCGATGCCAGCATCTTTTCTTTACTTCTTGGTCTACTGGAACTTGTTTAGCTCTCTCCCTAAGCTCAACATTAGCGATTTTATCATATCATCCATTCTATTCAGGCACCAGTCAACGAACATCTGTTGTTAACTGCAGATTCATAATTCGTTGGACTGTTGCCAGAGAACTAGTGGTGCCTTATGTGATTAACTGCATGTGCAGTTACTGATCTGTTGTAACTGCTGCTTCCATCCACTATGAACTGCATTTCTAGTCTTGTGCTGGCCTGGTTGTGTTGGCATTTCTGACTGCTACTTCATCCACTGTATGCGTATGTGCTATACTGGCATTGCTCAGACCAGACTGCAAGGAATGAAAATTGTTTTTCTCACAACAGACAGTGACGAGCATTCTGTGCTATTTTCCTTGGCAGAGGAAACGGTTTTCCTTGTCACAGGAATGGAGCATCTATAAGTAAGTATAAGGTGACCCATTAGCTATTTATGAAGATGGAAGTAAATTAAAAACACTAGCGGCATATCCCATAGACAGCATGACCCTAGTAATGTGCGATCATACTGAACAATGTCAAGTTCACTTCACTGGTTTACCACTGTGTTGTTTTTTTTAACACTATAGTACTCATCCAATTGTCCTATATTCTGATACTTCCTAGTACTTATTTTACGCTGGTTTGATCTGGGAGCCCTAAGTCCATTATAAAAATCCGCTTCGGTGTTGTTTTGAACTTAAAACCTTCGGACTGGCAAGCGAACGTCTTCCCACTACACCACCGCATCTTCCCTAGGTGTTAAACCAACGGCGAAATAATGTATGTTATTTGTGAATCAAATATGTAACAAATCACTTAGCTCTTTTATCCAAAGTAGTTCTAAATTCAACTGTTTATGTTTAAGCTTATGTAACAAGAGAGCTTTGGGGTATAAGAAGTTATAGTCATAAATTAGAATGAAGAATGGGTTAACATAAAAAAAAGCAATGGACATAAAGAGTAAATTAATATGAACCACATAGACATGAACCAAAGAACGCTCTAGGAATTCCCTCGTACTGGAGTTAATATATAAGGCACAAAGCTGCAATGAATGATAAAGCCTCACGCACGACTATTAAATCTAATATATCTCACGTTGACAACGGCTTTCTATAGACACACTCAATATGAAGTCTGTAGGCGTATGGAGAAAACAAATAAGTAAGGAGATTCCATTGTGTCTACAAAGACGTCAACGTGCTCAAACTACACATCGTGTCACATTAGGGCTGTTCAAGACAGGTCACGAACACAACACACCGACCGCTGGCTAAGAGTGTGCCGCGCGGACTCAAGGTCTTGGGGACACTGTCCCTATGTGTGTGGGCCTCATTGCTAGGCGCTGCGGGGTCGGAAGGCTAGGTTCCCAGGGGGAAGGAGGGAAGAGGTGGGACAAAGCAACAATGACCCTGAACAAAAGAGTGAAGGGTGGAGAATCAGTCAACATTCCTCACCCGCCCAGGGTTGCAGGTTTCAGTGTTGCAGGTTGAGGTTTAAGTGTTGCAGGTTGAGGTTTAAGTGTTGCAGGTTGAGGTTTAAGTGTTGCAGGTTGAGGTTTAAGTGTTGCAGGTTGAGGTTTAAGTGTTGCAGGTTGAGGTTTGAGTGTTGCAGGTTGAGGTTTCAGTGTTGCAGGTTGAGGTTTAAGTGTTGCAGGTTGAGGTTTGAGTGTTGCAGGTTGAGGTTTAAGTGTTGCAGGTTGAGGTTTAAGTGTTGCAGGTTGAGGTTTGAGTGTTGCAGGTTGAGGTTTGAGTGTTGCAGGTTTAGGTTTAGACGACGGATCAACATCATGGCACACGGGTAGTAACCCGTAAGTGACAAGCCTGAGTCCGAAGAATCTTAGCGCAGCGCACGAACTACGTAGCACCGGTGAGGATCCTGAAATATTTTGAGTAGATTTAAAACTCCAAATTTTGCCCGGGTTGCGCCGTTATGCTACTCTTTTTTCGATTTCCAACTGCCAAGAGAGTTTCTCATGCGCAACAATGTACGGGTTGGTTTGCTACGAGCTCGCACCCGATGTCACTTCAAAAGCCTGACCAGTGTTGCCACTTTTCTTTGACAAAAAACATCCAAAACGGAGTCAGAAAATATATAAAAACATCTAAATTTGCGTGGGAAAACATCTAGAAAAAACATCCAAATGGAAAGAGTCACAAATTACATAGAAATTGATATGACTTATCCTAAAGAATCATGTCCTCATCTTTACTGAAGTCTGCCTTACAAGATCCACAGGATAAACTTAGCTTGGATAATGAAGTTGAAGCTTCAGATCCAAAACAACTCTGGTAGGCTTTAGCTGTTCTAATTTCTCTTAATACCCATTCAGGGAGTTGATAAGTGGAACAGCCTTTTTCTACTCTTATCAGGCAAAATGTTATTGCCAAGACAGCATTTAAGAGGTCAAATTCCATCCTGTTTCTTAGGTTAGATTTGATAAATTCACTCCAAATGAAAAACATCTACCATCTAAACGTCAAAAACGTCATCTAAATGCAATGAAAAACATCTAAATCTGGATGTAAAACATCCAAAGTGGCAACACTGAGCCTGATGCTGAAAGACAGCACGTGGCCAGAGAAGATCAAGGTTTGCCGCTAGACTGAGATCTGGAAAAGACAAAAATCCTCACGTTCAACCAGCATCCCCGAAGGGGGAGCTTTAGGTTATAGTTGTGACTAATTTATGTGCGCCATATACAATGGCTTAGCACTGCTTGCCACCGAGAGATCATCTTCACAGATCACCCTCACAGTCGACAGATCATCCTCACAGTCGACAGATCCTCCTCACAGTCGACAGATCCTCCTCACAGTCGACAAATCACCCTCACAGTCGACAGATCCTCCTCACAGTCGACAGATCCTTCTCACAGTCGACAGATCATCCTCACAGTCGACAGATCCTCCTCACAGTCGACAGATCCTCCTCACAGTCGACAGATCCTCCTCACAGTCGACAGATCATCCTCACAGTCGACAGATCATCCTCACAGTCGACAGATCATCCTCACAGTCGACAGATCATCCTCTGAAGCGAGCGCCATGAGGTTAACATGGGGTCCACTAAAACAACACCCCCGCCCTCTTCCTCCATTAACCATCTTACACATTTTCAAAGTAAACAGCGAGGGAGGGGGTAGAAACTTAGGTATTTTAAGGCCCCCAGAAAAAAAATAAACGTGGGGGGGGGGGGGGGAGAGTGCTCCCGACCACCCAATAACTGTGTAAGGGAGCTAGGATGTACGTACAGAAATTGTCTTTTAAAAAAGTTCTTCATAGATTTTATATTATTGCAAGTATATTTTCATATTTATTTGCCATTCAGCAAATCCTTTTTTTTTTTAAACATGCGAGGTTACAGGGGATCTCTCAGCCTTCTTACAAAATATGGGGAGTTGGGTGGAAACTCGAAGTCCTGACGGAGGTTCCTATATGAAATACACAAGTTTTCCGCCATCACCTCAGACAGTTTTTCTGATCCTAAACTGGCTTTGTTATTTGTAGCCAGGAAATTCTGTGATAACACATACACTGTAACCTGAAGCACTGTCTTACTTTTATTCTTAGTTAGGGCAAATGCAGACTCAGACAGTATTAATGAGTTAGGCTGGTTTCCCTGTATATTTTGTTTGAGGTCAGGTGAAATCGCTGCATTTAATATAAGCCGCATTCGACAAAGTGCTAATTGTGGGGAGCGAGGGGGGCTGACTGTGGGGCTCAAAGGACATTAGCCCACAGGTTCCGGTGGCACATATGATCCTCACTGCATATCAACCCATTCCATTGGTATGTGTTCGGATGCCCATCAGTTCACCAGCGACCTAGATAAGTATCACCTACCTAGTATATTACTGTCGTTTATTAGTATTCTGTCACAGTCGAGTACAAAACATTGTAATGTAGTCATTTCACAGTTAGTGTATATTTGTGCGTGTGTGTGCGTGCTGTATTGTCTTTGTTTTCTGATGAAGGCTCATCACCGCAACGTTCTTTGTTTGCTCACTTAACAGATTTTGTAAAGCTGACATGAACTTTTTTGTTCTTACCCTTTTTCTTCTTTTGCCAGTAAATTTCACAGCGGCTGGCGACACTAGTTCTGTGTTAGGTTTTTTCTTCTTCTGTATACAGAAGCCCTAAATAACAGAAGATTTTTAACTAGACCATCTCCAATCAATCTACACACAGCGAGTGGGCCACTGTTTTCACTAGAGAGAATCCAGCAGTTGTATTCATCACTCCACGCTGGCAATCTATTTAATTGTGCTTGTGTTGTTTGCTGAAGAGCGCTTCAGTGCAATGTGCTCTGTAATTAGTCGCACAGGTTAAGATATACGTTTTAAAAACTGAGTCGTTGCTAAGGTCCACTTTTTTGCGGAGTAATCAAGTGGAGCCCTGGGAAGTAAAGGCGGCCGGCGTGATGCAGACCACATCAGCCTCTAAGTGTCAATTGGTCTATAAAATATAGGTCTAGCCCTCTATGCCTAAAGGCGTGGAAAGGGGTCATTTACTTTACACGGGCGGTCGATTACGTAACCACATGTACACAAAATTCCAGATAGGGGTATCAGCCATGTGCACCTGTGGAAAGGTGCCCCAGACAGCAGAGCATGTACTCCAGGACTGCACCGAAATTGACACATTTAGGCAA